AAAAATTATTAACAAGCTAATCTGATTTTAACATCACGTTTTACGTATAGCGTGTATTTTACCTGACTCCACTCTCCCAGATCCCATTTCGGACAAGCCTCTTGATTGCACGTTCGCTTAAGGTGTTTCTCCTGTCTGGCGCAATTCTCATCTCGTACCTGCCTCTCATTTGAATCAACGCATATCGCGCTTCTCAATTGCACACCGCCGCCGCACGAGACACTGCAGACATTCCATTCGCTGTAACTCCAATGAGCATCGTCGCAAGGACCAACACATGGTTGGTGCTCGCTCGGTTTCTCGATGTGCAAGCATGCGTGCGCCGGTATCGGTCGCGGAAGATGCGATGAGTCTAGCAAGATTTGAACGCATCGCGAGGTTACAGTTCGCACGCCCGGACCACAGTGATTTGAGCATTCAGATATGGTCGTTTGCCATCTGAAAGCGATTATAAATATATAGATTCAGTAGAGTCATGAATGCAGAAATATCCTTTAAATTTTGCTACACTATACACATAAAATCATGCACATATCCCACTAAACATAAACTAACAGTATAACATTATATCAATATTTCCTATTCAATATGAATATAATATAACACATATTGTACATAACAGTTACATTGTTGAGTAGAAAATTGCAATAGTGATATAATGTTACAATTACTTTGTGTTCAGTGAAATTCCTTTATGTTCTTATTTAATAAATTTTTAATTTTTCCAAGTGATATATTACTGATCCTTTGTTTTCGCATGCGTTCCTCACTTACTGTAGTGTACAATGCGCGTTGCACATCTGACTCTCCTCTTGCGGTTTTTCCTCATTTCTGCAATAAGCATCGGGCACCGCTTCCTTGTGCTCAGTACTTCTACATTCGGCTTTGCGATATTTCATACCCTGACACATTCGATTGCAAGTTGACCAATCGCTGAGCAACCACGTGTAACTATTTAGAATTCTTTTGGGTACAGTGTACTCATACGTGATTTGTGGTGGATAAACGTTTCCTACGGATAATACCTGGAATTCCGTATTCTTAGTTGAGCAGAGTCACATAGCCAGAGAAACTACTTTTAGCTAAGCTGACGTAATTGTAAAATGTAAACAGTGAACCTGCCTCCAAAATTAAATCGATGGCAGTAGGCCGGGAACTGTTCAGCCGTTCCACAACCGATTCCGGTCCGCTATATTCGATAGTGACGCCGGGATGCACGATCACCTTACGATGCATTACCATAAAATTCCCGTTTAAAATATATTCGCCGTCTTCTCCAATCCGTAGCGCTATATAACAATATGTTGAAGTTTAAAAAATAATAATATAAAAAAATTTTAATAGAAAAGCTGAGACATAAGCTCACATGTACATATTACATTTGCTTTACAATAAATCTATGTGTAATTTTCTTTACATTAACATGACAATATTTTTATATAAATATAGAATAGAATAGCTTTATATTATCTTCAATTTATTAATTTTATATGATAATATCCTTATTAATTGTTTAGATTTAATACGTTTCTGATTCATTGATTTAAAAAATCTATTCGAAACAAGGCAGGAAAATCTTACCGAGATAATTACTATCGTTGTGAGAGTTCAGCCATCCGTGTTGTTTAATATCAATATAGCTGCTGCCTGCAGGAATTTTAGCTACCCTGGTATAACCGTACACGCTAGTGTTGTAGGCGCCCGCGATTCTCTGGCAAGTGGCATTGTCGCCTCTGCAGACCCCGCAGGTATCGAGATCGGCTGTCGAATTCAAGATGTGATCGCATCCAGCGGGCTTACATTGGCCATTAACGCATATGTGAAAAGTGTCGGGGCCACAGGGTGTTCCATCGATTACTTTGTCGCGTAACATGTAATACTGATTGCTCTCCACTTGGCAGTATAGTTTGCAGCGATCTTGTGGCAATACTATAAAAAAAAGTTCCAAAAATCATATCTTCCTCACATAACTTCCTCCGGAAATTGGGTCAAATCATAGATTAAACATAAATTAAGAAAAAGATGAAATTAGAAATGATAAAAAAAGTAAATCATTGCTTACTTCTTGTATACTTTGCATGCCACTTAACATCTCTAGCAAGATTCTGAATGTTGAAGTTATTGTTATCGAATTTCGAGCACTGCTGTTCTCTGAAAATGACAGAAAAAAATAAATACTAATGCATTATAAAATGAATAATCCACTACTAATTAATATACTGAAGGAACTATTTTGCTGGACCTAAAAATTTAGATGCAGCTAGCGATGTAGATCTGAAAAAAATTTTGTTAGATTAACAAAACAATTATATTGGATACGTACCTAAAATCTGGGCTACCTGATGGGCACTCTTTGGTGCCACAACTACGGTATTTTACGCGCTCGCCGATGCAGTAATTGCCCCCGTTGTTTGGCGCCGGATTGTCGCACTCGCGATACTTCCTCTTGACGCCACCACCGCAGGTCCGCGAACATTCGCCGTATCTTCCCCACTCGCCCCATTGACCGTGCACCGGCTCGAGATTTCTACGCGAGACGCATTCACCGCGATGACACCATTTATCGACGCCGCAAGGTGTACCATCAGCCCAGGGCATGTGCTGAGTGTGACACTGCTGATGATGATCCCACAGTGGCGCGGTGCACCACAGTCTCCTACACACTGCCTGGCCGGTAACCGACCAAGCTCTCAATTTACTTCAATTCTTAAGCGAATTCCGTCGTAATAACACTACGGAATAGACAAGTCAAAAGCAAGCTTGAACGTGTGTTCCAATAGATAATATCTCTCCAGTCATTAATAATATTATATAAAGACACAGGCTGAACATGAAATTAAAATAAGCGAGAGGATGCATTTTGTCTGAAATACGAACGCAAATACGTCTCCATCAAACGCGTGAAGAGAACGTTTTCGACTTACCATCACTCACCATATGAGGACAGATTCTGGATCCTTGGCCGAAGACGAGTTCACATTGTTTGTTCTCCGAATAGTCTTCGCCGGGTAATCGACCGTTTTGTCTCTCCATCATTTTACTGGGCTCATCAAGCAAACAGTTAGCATATCCAGCTCTGGAACAAACAATCATTACGAATTAATAACAGTTCTCGATCTCATTAATTAAGAGAAAGTTGTCCATTCATCCGAATAGCTTTATGAGAATTATATTTCTTGTGACAATGCGTGAAATATATTACAAGTATATAACAGTCGCTTAAAATCTCGTTAAACCGGATTTCTAAGCGACAGCGATGACTCGTTCCGGCCCCTTCGGTATCATGGAAAAACTCGCGATATTGCCTTTCTCGATCGAAATTAATTTGTCTGGCCGACATCCATTCCCTGGAAATCGATATGTTTGACGCAAACGGTTATTCTCGGCTTTCCTATTTGTGCTTGAATTGTGATTCAAAACGCAATTTTAGAACGCGTTACACTTAAGCTTACAAATGAATTAATTGCCTTAACTAATTAAGAGAACACGATGTAATTAAATTATACTGATAGCAAAAACAGAAATAAACCTAATTAACCTGATTAAACGCAATACATGCACCTTTTTTAACTTGAGACATATGAAGTGCCTTTCGCTAAATATAGACACAAGAGACATCAAGAGACATTAAAGAGACATCTTGTAAAGAACACGAGAGAACTTTCAAATTAAATACGATTATTTATTTAGAAAAGTTGTAACATATTTACAGAAAGTTAAATGCCAAAAAAAAAACAGAGAGAGAAAAAGATATTTATTTATTAAAAATTAACTTAATAAATCTCTTATTTTAAAGTCGAAACATTGCCAATAACCATTAATGAATTAAAGATCCCACGAATTGTACCGCTATGAACAGAAAGGCAAATCAACGCGGTCAACAGACAAAACCTGACATCGCATTGCGTACTGTCTTAAGTAGAGGTCACGAGTCAATTAATAACGATCTCTTTCCAGAATGCTCCTCGGCACATCGTTTATAACCGAGTCATTCACCAATTAATGACTGACTCACTCGAGAAATTCGGTGACATAGTGTCGGGAACACTTGGACCACTCCCAGGGAAAAGTATTATCGTCCAGCATGCGGGACATTACGTTGTGCACACCCGAACGATTCCTGAAACCAGCGCACTTGGAGTCGTCGTCGTGCGGCATGTTAAGCCTGTAATGCATTTCGGATATTTCCTCTGAGTATATATGTTGTGTATACATAAATGTTTCAAAAAATCATAATCATAATATACGCATGAACAAGAAAAGCGAAAAAAGATTGGAAAATTAGAGATTTAAAGATGTTTAAAAAAAATAGTATGAAATATAAACCCAGTAAACACTAAGTAACATAATTAATGTTATAATTTTATACTCAACAATGTAACTTATAACATATGTTATATTACATTTATACTGTTGAGTATAAAATTATGACATTGATTATTGTTAGTTGATGTTTACTGGGACATGTATAATATAAGATCTAGTATAAAAAGGATAGAGAAAAGAATAAGATTGAAAAAACAAAGACTTAAATACGAAGATACTTGTGGCAAACAGATATATATAGCACAGCAACAATCTCATGAAGAAGATACGACGTATCTTTCAAGAAGGATTTAAATGATCTCATTACATAAATTATAATATTACATAAATTACGTAACATAAGTTATGAAGAACACATAATATACTTTATGACCGATAAATATACTTACACGTGACCAATCTCGTGTGCGATGGTAAACGCTGCGGCTAATCCATTATCCTGCACGATAGCGCACGAAGATCCAGGCGAGCACATTCTACCCAGCTCGGCCAAGCCCAAAGTATCACAACGTTTTTGGCGTGGATTGTGACACAGATTTTCTCTGAAAATTATTTTCAGATTGTACGTATGTCACATGTTCTTAAACTTCGAATCTTTATTTCTATAAGATTATTGTTTCGATAAATTTGAGTTTGACGAAAAGTTTTGACGAAAAGCCATCATTTGCAATTATTTTATATTTATTATTAAACATATTGTCAATTCATTCTAATTTCTTCTTAAAATTTTTAATTAATGAGATAATAAATTTACAAATATATTTTAAATAAAGATGTTATTTAATTACATTTTAAAAATTAAATTTAAATGCTTTAGACTTTAGACAAGAACAATTTTAGTTTCAATGGTCTATTAAACTAACTGTTGTTGCTTTATAAAAAATAGTAACTTTTACGAAAAATTTCATATTATAGAAAAACGTATATTTTTACAATATGTAGATTCTTCTAATACAAACCTGGTTAATAAAAGCGCAGCATCGTGGTGTTCCGGTGAGGGTTCGTCGGGATTGTTACGTTTCTGCCATTGGCAGAATCGCTTCAACATTTCAGCCGCCGCAATTCCGTCACTTCCACTATGCTTGACACCGAATATTTCTTCAGTCTTGACGATCTTCATCACTGCAATGCTTACTGGATTGCCGATAGACTGATCTTTGTAGATCCGTGAAACCTATCCTTCCAGGGGGGGGCAAATAGAAACATATCCGGTAATTCAGTTGTAACAAATTAAGGTACCAAATTAAGGCCTAGCACTAAATAAGGACCACTTTCAAATTTATTACTTAAAAACGCGCTTCACGCCAGTAAAGTAAGTCCTACAGAATTTTATTAAAAACTGATTTAGAAAAACAATGTTTAGTTCCTTTATTATTTTTAATTTATTTTTATTTGAGCCTTATTCATATACA